TCTTCTTCTTTTTAAATATATTTATATATTTTTGGTCCACGTCCATAGAAATGATGTTGTACACTCACACTGAAACTGTTTCCGGTCTCGTCCTAAAGGTGGCACACACAGGATCTGACAGTAATGAAACCTAAGGGCGCCCCCTGGTGGTGATCTACATCGTGTGGCCTGTGTTGAGCTGCTGTTGAGAGCTTCTGACACACAGTGGAGCCAAATAACTGTTCATGTTCATCCCTGCGTCAATGCAATATCATTAAGATAATGCCTGTGGCTTCTCTCATACATTTATATGATTATATATATATATATATATGTTTACTTTACAGTGAATTCTGCCTGATATGTGTTTTATTATTTGTTCACATTTGCATCATTGTGGGAAGATTAAATAGTAGGAGGACCTCTCTGTGTATTCTGTGATGTAATGCGGTTTAAAAGCGCCACAAACTGCAGTAACTATAGTTGAAAAAGCAGTATTTATTGTAGGACGGATGTATTACTGCACACTAGTTTAACAGAGACAGTTATACACTGTGCTGATTATCTCTTCTCCAAAACATGCACTGTATATAAAACCTTTTTAATGTAATTTGATTCTCTGAGGTTAAAGATGTGACATCACCAGCAGCAGGTGATGCAACCAGTCAAGGTGAAAACGTCAGGGCAGGATTTTGAAACCGTTCCTTTGGTGTGCTCGTCACACACCAGAGACTGAAACCGCCGGGAAAGCAGAACAAATGCTTTTAAGGGAAACCCTCTGGGCTTCGGTTCTCTTTGCAGTGTTTCAAGTATCTCAAAATAAACCCAATCTGACCTTATCACTGGGCAGACGTGGTCCGAGCAGAGGGAGGGTGGAGCAGGAGAGAGAGGTATTTACTCCACAGGTCATTTTTAGGGGTTGAGCAGCTCAGAAATGCGACTGGTATGTCTGGATTGTTCTGTATTTGATAAATAATTTCAGAAGAGGACTATCAGCAGCACAGACAGGGCCCCTGACCCCCGAGCTGCACCAACACAATATATGTGTGTGTGTGTGTATTGTGCATGAACATGAGGTTTTGTGCATGTGTATTTACGCCTGTTGAACCCATTGTCTCCGAGTCTGTTATCATTATGCAGCAGTTTCCTCCGACTGGGGAGAGAGAGACAGAGGGGGAGGGGGGGGGGAGCAGAGATGGAGGTAGGAATAGAGACAGGGGGAGGGGCGTTGGTGGAGGAGGCTCCATAAATTGGTTCAGGAATTAATTTGCACTAGGTAAA